CTGCTCAGCTCGGGCTGGACTCGAACCGCTGTTGCTCAGAGCTCAAACTCTTGAGTGAGCTCTTAACCAACTGAGCCACTCGGCCGGCCCTGCTGCTACTATTATAGCAAACCAATTAGCTCACAGGCCCCAGTTTCTTTACCTGTTTATAAAAAGTATGCATTTTTATAATGCAAATATTAAGACAAACTGCTCAAACAGTAGGACTGGATGTTTTCAAAGGTACGCTTTGAGTATACTCAAAATATTTTATGAAATAACGAATGTCCTGCAATGTTAGATACCTGGTATATTAGGTAGGGTTTAGGGTGATTAGGACTGAAAATTTTATGTTCACTTTAAGAAATTTTTAAAAATAAATGATCTTTATTTTTTACAGCAGATTTGGGTTCACAGCAAAATTGAGAGGAAAGTACAGCGAGTTCCCACACAGGCACAACCTTCCCTAAAGTCTCAATGATACATTTGTTATAATCAGCGAACCTACTCTGACGCATCATTTTCGCTCCGAGTCCGTAGTTTTCATTAGGGTGCGCTTTTGGTAGTGTGCATTGTATGGATTTTGACAAATGTATAACACCTGAATCCACCATTGTAATAGGACACAGAATAGTTTCACTGACGGAAAAGCCTTCTGTGCTTCATCTATTCATATTGCCCTCCCCCAAAACACTGGCAACCACTGATCATTTGACTGTCTCCATAGTTTTGCCTTTTTCAGAATGTCATATAGTTGGATTCATATAGTGTATAGCCTTCAGATTGGCTTCTTATACTAAGTAATATGCATTAACTTTTCTCCATAGCTCATTTCATTTTAGTATTGAGTAATAAATATTCCATTGTCTGGATGTACCACAGTTTATTTATCCATTCATTCATCAGGATATCTTGGTTGCTCCCAAGTCTTGGCAATTGTGCCTAGAGCTGCTGTGAAAATTTGTGTGCAGGTTTTTGTGTGGACATAAGTTTTTAGCTCAGCTGGATCGTATGGGAAGGGTATATTTAGTTTTATGAGAAACTGCTAATCTGTCTTCCAAAGTGGTTGTGCCGTTTTTCATTCTGACCAGCAATGAATAGGAGTTTCCATTACTACACATCTTCACCTGCATTTGGTGGTGTTTTGGATTTGGGCCATTCTAATAGATATGTAGTGGTATTGCATTCTTGCTTTAATTTACAACTCCCTTATGAAATATGATGTGAACATCTTTTCATATGCTTTCTTGCAGTCTGTATGTCTTCTTTAGTGAGATATGTGTTAAGGTCTTTTGCCCATTTTTTAACTGGATTGTCTTGTTTTCTTGTTGAGCCTTAAGAGTTCTTTGTATACGAGGTCAGATAATTAAGTTCGCAAACTTATCCTAGAAAAAGTGCCACATACCTCATTTCTGAATATCACTATGGTCACCTTCGAATTCCTCCCCTTGGGAAGCTCTGCACCAACACCAGCGCCTAGTCCACCCTTCACAGCAAATTTGGATCTATTTTTCTGGAATGGTCATCAGAGCTGTCGTATTACCCTTGATGTCCTGAATGTTGTCAAAATGTCTTCCTTTCAATATTTCCTTTATCATCGGGTAAAAAAAGAAGTCATTGGGGGCCAGATCAGGAGAGTAGGGAGGGTGTTGCAATATAATTATTTGTATACTGGCTAAAAACTCCCTCACAGACAGTGCCGTGTGAACTGGTGCATTGTCGTGATGCAAGAGCCATGAATTGTTGGCAAAAGTTCAGGCCATTTTCCTCTAACTTTCACGTAGCCTTTTCAGCACTTCCATGCTCTCCATCTTCCATTTTCATTGGTGCCTACTCGTTTATTGACAGGTCAGCAGTTAACTCCTTCTCAAAACCTTACTCTAACTCCTGGACTCCCCTGTTCCCCAAACTGGGTTTCTAGGTGCAAATCTCTGTCATTACATTTCCTCCCATTCATTCATTCCATCAGCTAACCAACAATATTTGTGTTAGGCAGAATTTTAAGTACTAGGATAAAGCAGATGATAAGAAATAAAAAAGTCCCTTCCCTAATAGAGCGTACTTTTTTTTTTTTTTTAAGATTTTTATTGGGGAATTGGGGGAAGGGGAACAGGCAAGTTGCTGTCCTTTTGTTCTTCAGTCTAATTGTGGAGGATGTTGCTTCACTGGCCCGTGTTGGTATTATCATTGCGCTCTTCCCGGGCGAGGCAGATGAGTTGCCGGCTTCTGGACGGCCGCTCACGGTGGCTGCTGGCCACTCAGGCTGGCTGCTGGCTACACACGGTAGCCCATGGCAACCCACTGCAGCAGGGGCTGCAGCCTACACCGTCGCTGGCGACTCACGGCAGCCCAGCTCCAGGTTGAGCTGTTGTTCAGCATCTTAGCTGTAGAGGGCAGTGTCACTGACCCTCATATGTGGGATCCGAACCGGGGCTCTCTGGCATCCCAAGCCAGCTCTTAACCACCGCACCACTCAGCCAGCCCTAGAGCGTACATTTTAATGAAGGGAGATACATAATAAACAAGTAAAAATAGAATATGTCAGTGAGTGATAAATACTATGATGAAAAATAGAGTAAGAGGGGTGAGTTGTTCTGAGGTTGGAGCGGAGGTTGCGTTGAAAGGTCAGGGAAGGCCTTCCTGATAATGTGCTTTGAGCAGAGAGCTGGTGGACGTGCGAGAGGAAGCCATGCACACCTGGCAAGAATCCTCGAGGAGGAGCATGTTCATTGTACCCCAGGATCAGTAAGGAAGGCCCTGTGCTCGGATCAGAGCTGGTGAAGAAGGGGAGAGTGGTGATGATGTGAGCCATCTAATGGCAACTAGCTCATGGAGCGATTATAAGAACTTTGGCTTTTACTGTGAGACCTGAAACTATGGAGGCTTTTGGCAAAGAAATGACAGGATATGGCTATGTGCTAAAAGGGTCACTGTGACTACAGGGTGAAGATAGGGTGGGACAGGGGTAGTGCTAAGAAGGGGTGGAGGGTGGAGACCAGTTAGGAGATGGTTGGAACAATCCAGATAAAAGGTGATAGTGTCACGGATTGACCAGAGTGGAGGTGGTGGTAAGTGATTAAATTTTGGAAATATATATATATTTTGAGGGAAGAACCAACAGGATTTATAAAGGATTGGGTAAGGGGTATAAGAGAAAACAAACAAACAAACAAACAAACAGGAGACAAGGATGACTTCTAGGTTTTCAGTCTGAACAGCTGACAGGACAGTATTGCTGTGAAGTGGGGAAGATGGCTGGAGAGTTTTGGATATAAGTTAAAGAAAGCTATCAGGCCTCCAGTTGGAGATATTGAGTACATAGTCAGAGGTGTGCATCTGGAGTTCAAAGGAGAGGTCTGAGCCTGGAGATACAAATCTGAGAGCTGTCAGCATTTAGATTTCAAAGGTACGGAATGAGATGAGAGAGAAGAGAAGGGCTGAGATGACAGGGTCCTGGGGCTCTCCAGACTTTAGGAGGCAGAAGACGTCTGAGCAAAGGAAACTGAGAAGGCCAGTGAGACAGTTGGAGAACCAGAGAGCAGGGGCAAGTGAAAAACGCATTTTAAGGGGAGGGAGTGATGCCCTATGTCCAGTGTTGCAGGCAGGTCGAATAAGATGAGGATTATGTTATGTTGTTAAGTCTTTGTTTATATATGTCTCCTTCAGTTAGCTGAGAACTCACTGGGAGCAGGAACGCATACAGCAACGTAGCTACTTACAGCTTTGAAATCAGTGGGATACGGGCATGCCATTTACTGGCTGTTTTCCCTCAGCTGGTTCTCCCAGTCCCTTTGTGTTTCAGTCTCATCTGTAAAATGGGGAGGATATAGTGTCTTTTCCATTGAGTCATCGTGAGGAGCAAATGAAACCATCCAGATGAAGCACTAAGCGCAGTCCCGCTCATACAGCTAAACACATGACAATTGTAATCATTATTAATGACATGCACCTGCAACGGGGCGCCTCCCTATTGAGCAACATGCGTTGAGTGAGTGAATTGCCTTTTTGTTGGTTGGTTTCTGTTAATATTTCATTCGAGGCATTTCCGTGTGTGTTGTGATGTATTAACATGGCATTTTTCGGGTTTCTCTAGGGTCCAGTGCTGATCCTCACAGAGTGGGTCCTGGAGTAAGGGAGGAAGAGAAGCCCTCGGCGCAGGGCCGGCGCGATGGAGCTCCCCAACTACAGCCGGCAGCTGCTGCAGCAGCTCTACACGCTGTGCAAGGAGCAGCAGTTCTGTGACTGCACCATTTCCATCGGCTCCATTTATTTCCGGGCCCACAAGCTTGTCCTGGCCGCTGCCAGCCTTCTGTTCAAAACCCTGCTGGACAACACAGACACCATCTCCATCGACGCGTCCGTGGTGAGCCCGGAGGAGTTCGCCCTCTTGTTGGAGATGATGTACACAGGCAAGCTCCCTGTGGGCAAGCACAACTTCTCCAAAATCATCTCCTTGGCCGACAGCCTGCAGATGTTCGATGTGGCCGTTAGCTGTAAAAACCTTCTCACCAGCCTTGTGAACTGTTCTGTTCAGGGCCAGGTGGTGAGAGATGGCTCCATGCCACCCTCAGACGTACCCAGGAAAGAACCGGAGAAGCCTGATGTGGAAATCCCGTCCTCAGAGGGTGCAGGAGAGCTTCCTTCTGCCCCGGAGGGCCCTGCCCCTGCCGGGACCCCTGTGGGAGCCGAGACCCAGGAAGCAGCCCAAATGGGTGCACAAGAGATTAGTGTGGACCCTCCCACCGCCCAGGAGATCCAGGGGGACACAGAGGTCCCGGTGGACACTCCACGTACAGCTGACGGTGCTTCTCCCTCTCCGGTTGTACAAGCCTGTGGTGCGGCGAAGGAGGCAAGCACAGAGCCAGGTAGTATTCGTGTGACAGTTGTTTGGTAATCTATTGTCAGTTCCTAGATTCAGTGATCTTTAGGAATTTTTTTGTTTTATTGACAAATTTACCAAAGACCACTGATAGATAGGATATCAAAATCCAATGCATTACTCCCGGTGAGGCATTCTTTTTTTTTAAAGTGTCTATTTTTGAGTGTTGGAAGTTTGAAGCTGAACGACAGAGCAGAAAAGCAGTATTGAAATAAGCGTTCCAGTTTTGATACGTGCCCATTACTTTAACCAGGAAGAGGATGGCACAGAAGAGGAAGCTCTCAGAGACACCACTGCCCTTTAATCATAACCGATGTGCTAGACAGCAATTATAAATGCAGTCTGTGACCTAAAGGTTAGCTTAAACTTTTAAAAATCTTTTCAAGTAGTGAATCGCTGATTTTTTAAAATTTTGTTTTGTTTTATATTCAGAATATGAGAGGAAACACTACCAGCTGAATTTTCTTCTAGAAAATGAAAATATTTTCTCAGACGCACTCTTGGTTACCCAGGATGTTTTGAAAAAACTAGAAGAATGTTCAGAAATTAAAGGTGCACAGAAGAAGGTAGGTACCACAAGTTTTGATTGCTGGGTCAGTGTACTCAGGGTACCAGACCCACTTCCCATATGGGGCAGAAATATGAAAATGCAAAATACCCTAGAGACGCGATTTTTTTCAAACTTTAATTTTTTTTTTTGACATTTATTCCCTAAAGGGTGGCCTTGCAAGAGTACTAGGCAAGATCCTTTAAAAACAAAATTGTATTTTCATTGCCAGATGAATCCCAGCTTACAACCAGTTTTGATCAAGTATACTTAATGGATCATACCATTCCCTTTGATTTAATCAAGGATTAAACAAAACAAAAAGAAATACTTAAAACATGGCACAAAAAGGATGTAATAGAAACTTACATAGTAAATTGCATCCAGTGTTTGGGAATACAGTGGCCATTTTCAGACATCAAAACAATAATGGTGAACATTTACTGAACACTTACTGTGCTATGTTTGGTACCTATGTTACCTCTTTTAATCCTCACAAAAATCGTCGAGGTGGATACTGTTGTACTATTTTTTAGCCCTGTTTTATGGATGAGAAAACCGTGTCAAAGAGGTGATGTTTCTTGGCGAAGGTGGCAGAGCTTGTAAGGCTTTGAGCAAGAATTCAAACCTAAGCATTCTGACTTGGAGCTGTTCTCTTACACGTTGAGCTAACACTGCCTCCCAACAGGGTCAAAATGATGTGTGTATACCATGTATGAATAAACGTTTAGGAACTGACTGACAGAAAACTGCCAAATGGTTATCATGCTGTATTTCTTAGCTGATGTGTTTTTTTTTCTTTAATATCTCAGTGAGCTGCATGTCCACCTGTGAGCCGTCTCACTACCTCATTCCTCACTACCTTGCAGGACTAACTCCACGGCTACTTTGGAATTCCCCTTGCTGCTTCTACTTCCCAGCCCTGCCTCCGTTCTGAGAGGTGCTGGCAGAGTGAGAGGGTGCTGCCTCCGCAGGCTTGGTCATCTGATGCGGGGAGTAGTGTTGGGAGGTCTCCCATGTCGCTGCAGGCAACTTAGTTTTTGTTAGTTACTATTAATCCAAGAAATAAATGCCTTCAAGGATTTAAATATACCCCTGATGCATAGCAAGTTACATTTTTTAAAAACAAATTCAAGGGCAAGTATTTATTTTAATCATGGTTAATGGACAGTTGGCTAGTTGGCTATAAATTGTTCTCTTGAGAGATAAGCTATTTACAAGACTGGGCTAACCCTGATGCCTCTCTTCGTGAGGTTCCAAGTTGTCGACTCTTGGCACTCTGTACCAGTTATGCTGAAGGATATTATGGTTTTATATTTTTGCACTTGGGTGTTCTCTTAACTATTCAGTCCACGCTTTTTGTCACTAGTTTGTTACCTGGATAGCTCTAGGCACACCTCTTTAGTCTCTCTGTTAAGACTTCATCTCCACTTAACTGTGGATACAGAGGAGCAACATCAGTCCTTAGATCAGCAATACTGAAATTATTAGTGACACCGCTGTACTTACTTCAACTGTGTCTCATGCATTTTTTTTTTCTAACACTGGTACCTAAAAGTGTCTGGCACGTAACAGGTACTCAAAAATATTTGCCGTGCATGGATTCATTTAACATTATTTCCCCCACCAATTCTTGTCCTAGTCTTTTGATGGCAGTAACATTAACAGTACTTTGAAAGAACACTGAATCACTGTTGGTGCTCATTATAGGTTTATGTTATTTCTTTCTCGGTTTTAGAGGTCAGAGTAAGAGCTCTACAAATCATTTGGTGGCTGTATTTAAAACTGATTCCGTTATATTACATAATAAATCTTTCCGCTGCAGAAAGAAAAGGGGAGAAAGGCACTTGAAGAACATAAGATTAAATTAAGTAAAATACAGAGTTAGGGAGGTACTGCTTTGTACTTAGGCCCTGCACCGCTTTCTCTTTTTACTTTCTTTTAGACAGCTTTATTGAGGTGTGATTGACACATAGTAAGCTGTACATATTTAAAGTGTACAGTTTGATAAGTTTTGAAACCTACAATCAAGATAGTGAACGATCCATCACTTAAAAGTTTCGTCGTGTCCCTCTGTAATCCCCCCTCTCCTGCCTGCCCCCTCCCCTTCCACTCGTCTATCCCCAGGTAACATGGATCAGCTTTTTGTCTCTGTAGATTAATTTACATTTTCTAGAATATGATATAAATGTAGTAATATACTCTGTATTCTTTTTGGTCTGGCTTCTTTTATTCAGTATAATTATTTTAAGGTTCATCCATGTTGTTGCATGTTCATTTTTTAAATTTTTTTATTGGAGATACAGCTTATCCGACTCTGCCATCCACCAGCGTTGTGACCTTGAGCCACTTCATCTCAGTAAGCCTTAATTTCCTGATTTGTAAAATGGGAATGTTATCACCTATTTTATAGAATCATGGTGAAAGGAAGATTATTTATATAAAACTCACACTGAAATGTCAGGCACATAAAAGGAGCTCAGTAGGTGGCGACTGCTATTGCTCGTGACACATGAATGCAGGGTTTTCACAACCTTTGACCTTGAAACCCCTTTTTCACTTAATGCCTTTTAATACCCCAGCACTGTGGTCATTTACTTTGGCGCAGGAGATGGCTTGCTGTTACTTTAGGCATAATTTGCAAGTCATGTTTTCAAATAGGTACCATTTCCCTCTTGGAAGTGGCTTCCTGACTGCAAATGTAGTGTCTCGTACAGAGTCATCAGCCTCTAGAGCAATGGTTCAGTGGATATAAAAATCCCGGCTGTGTGTGTTAAACTGTACACCTCCAGACTACATATCCAGAGAATCTCATTCTTAGGTTGTGTAAGAACTTGGAAATCGCCATCTTTAACGGGTTCTCCATGGGCTGCTGTTTTGGTATCTCTAAAACCACATTTTGAGAGGCACTGAGGAAAAACTAATGGCTTACAAACTTCTTAATGTATTTCTCAGCAGATGTCACAGTGTCTGTGCTGACATCTCTCAAAGTTTTGAGGGGTCACTGAACCCGTTTTCCCCAAGTGTTACTCTTTGCTTACCCCTTAATTCAGCAAATCTTTACTGAATGTGCCAGGTATGTGCCAGGCATTGAGCTGGTTGCTAAGAAAACAAATGTTAATAAGACTGGATCCCTGCCTTCATAGAATGTCTTGACAGCAAAGAAATCCTGCCACATGTGTAATTTTGGGGGCAGTATACACAGAAGTCACCAATCTACCGGAATCACCAAAAGACTTCAGTGTTCAGTGTATTCAAGGACTGTTCACTTGGAAAATCAATTCAGCTACCATTGTAAAGGTTGTTTGGAGGGTTTTGTTAGTTTGTTGTTTTTCTGTTTATACATTTTTAGCTCCCAAAGAACTTTAAATATTTTTTGCTATTGTTTGTTTTTATTTGGTTAATCAATCATAACATAACTTGATAGCATAACATTAAAAATAATCTACTCTTAGATGTGTAGTTTTGAGACTTGTCTTAAGGCTCGTGAGTGATGTTCTGGTTAAGATGGACCAGCCTGTTCCTTTTCTGAAAACCTAACATAGGGTGTGCAGTTGGCCTGGATTGAGTTTAGGGAGGGTACCGTGAACCAGTGTCCTGATTGTTTTATTTCCTGAGCTAAATGATGAAAGGTGGCAAAGCCATCGCCTGAGCAATGATTGCAGCAGCAGGAGAAGAGGCTGGGCTGCTTGAATTGTGCGAAACCAAAGCCAAAACCGATTAAGGAGAAGCCTTTTGGGTGCTGGGATGGGGACGTGTCTTCGGCCGTTTTCTCAGTGTAATATGCCTTACCCATTAGAGAAAGCAGGTGCCAACCCAAGAGGTTTTCTGGCCACGCTGAGTGAAGTCTTGATTTAAAGGCAGACTCAAACGTTTTTTCAGCTTTTACACTAGAACATTTAATTGTCTTCTTTATGCCTAGCCGTGTCCCTGCTTTTAATTCATTGTGTAAATAGCAAAGTGAGTCTTTCACTAAAATAAGATGATAACTTTTTCTGCTATTGATTTCCTTGCTGTTTGATCCACTTTTCACCTGACATTCTAGAAAGTGAAGATGTCATAGCATTTTTTTCTCCTGCCACTTTGTTTCGAAGGCACACAAGCCTCCCCTCCTGTGTAAATTTAATGATTTCAACTGTGTCACTGCTTCGGAGGTCTGTGCTTTGTGGACTGTGTTCACGGGAAGGGTAGGCTAGCCCTCATTTTTTTTTTTTTTTAAGATTTTATTGGGGAATTGGTGAAGGGAAGCAGCCAAGTTTTTGTCCTTCAGTCTTAGTTGTGGAGGGCGCAGCTAGCTCAGCTCCAAGTCCAGTCACCATCCAGCTGCCCATCGGCAGCTTGAGGCCGCCCAGCTCAAGGTGCCATGTTCAATGTTAGTTGCAGGTGGGCTACGCCCACCATCCCATGCGGGAGTTGAACCGGCAACCTTGTTTTTAGGAGCACATGCTCTTACCAGCCGAGCCATCCTGCCACCTGTTGGCAGCTCAGCTGCAGCTCAGCTCACTGGCCCATGTGGGAATCGAACTGGCAACCCTGTTGTTCAGCGCTTGCGCTCTTAACCAACTGAGCCACTCGGCCAGCCCTAGGCTAACCCTCTTGAGAAGTGAGTGAATAGGATTCATTTTGCAGGTCTATGAAAGATGAAAATGAGTGGTTGGTTTATAAATCTCTGTGCTAATTAAGTCTACGATATACTGCCATAGATAGAAGGCCTAGTAGTTTAATGGCAAGGGAATTTCATTCAGTTAAACATGTATTAAGCGTCTACTGTGTACCAGTCTCTGTACTAATCATTGAGACCAAGAGGAATGTTACAGATTGTCTAAATACTACTATACAGGTGTTCAAAGTGGTGTTGATTCTAGTAAGTCCAGTAGACTCCAGTGTAAATGGATTCGGTTACACTCAAAATCTGGGAGATGGGACTGGGTGAAGGGGGTACCCGGTCAATGGAGTGAGCTCAGTGTTTCCTCCAGGCTGCTCTGCTGACTCGCCGTGTGACTTTGGGCAGGTTCCCCACCTCTCTGACTCTCATTTAACATCTGTAGTGATGCTTCCTAGGACTGATGTGAGGGGTACAGTAGGTGGCACTTGTGCGAGGATGGTGCTGAGCCGTTGAGGTCTGTATCATTATTGCCATTGTCTGGCCCTCGGTGTTTAGGGAAAGCGTGAGTGAACAAGAATACAGTGTAACCCAAACAAATCTGAAGGCAGTAGGCAAACAGTTGGGAAAATAAGTAAATTCAATTAAAAGACCTGAGGGTAAGGGAAAGATTAAATGGTTTTCCACATATAATAGAGGCAAAGGAAACTGTCCCATCTTTAAATATATTGACCTATTTTTTGCTCATAGATAAAAGGGCTTTGATTTCACATGTGACTATGAATTGACATGAATTTGTTGAAGTACCTTTAAGAATCAAAGGCGTTCCAAATGTATGGCTAAAGAACAAAACTCTGTTTTGGTTCATCTCTTAGAGTTCTGTTCCATGATAGCAATCAGTGAGCCCCAGCCTGTAGCAATATGTGACACCCTTCTGTTTAGGCAGATTCACTGAGAAAAGGGCTCACTCCACTGGGGAGCCCCAGGCAGCATAGGGGGCTGATGGAGGAACCGTTATGAACGCTGGCTCTGAGACAGGCCCCCAGTAGGTTCTGGAAGAAAGAGCAGAGAGCAGGACCATCCTGGCAATAGGCTGCTCCCTCCTGGCCCCCTCATCAGCCCATCCTGGCTTCTCTTCCCAGATGGTCACCCTAGCATCACTGCTGAGCAACGAAGTTAACAAATGTTTTAATTTCACTGCTGAGTAGTTCTGCAGAGGAGGAGACAGCAGAGAGGGTAATGAGAAGCACATCAGATGCCACCACTGATGGAAGCTTCTCTTCCCCAGTGGCTCAAACGATAATGCCAGACAAATTGGATGCTGAGAAAGGTGGATTTGGGATATTCGGAGAGCTTTGGGTGAACAGAACTGGCCAAGTACGGAATGAGATAGCCATATGCTGTATCAGTTATGATGCGTTAAAGGAAGGAAGGAAGGAAAGGGAAAGTAAAGAGGGAGAGCCATGTTTGCTAAGGGCATTACAACGAGTGAGTCTGTGTTACTTATCTATCACTGTGTAACAAATTACTAAAGGTTAACAGCTTAAAAGAAGAAACATGTATTACCTCACTGTTTCTGTGGGTCAGGAATCCAGGCATAGCTTAGATGAGTGCCTGGCTCAGGGTCTCTCACAGGGCTGCCGACATCGCAAGACTCAGCTCGGGGGTGCTCTTTCTAGGCTCCCTCACGTGACTGTTGGCTGGCTCCAGAAGTTCCACTTCCAATCTCACTCCGAGTGTTGGCCGGAGACACCCGTTTCTTGCCACGTGGGCCTCTCTGTAGGGCAGCTCACAGCAAGGCAGCTGGCGTCCAGATCAAAGAGAGTGCACGCGGCAAGATGGAAGTCTAGTAAGCTAACCTCAGAAGTGGCTTCCCATTACTTTTGCCATGTTATCCTCCTCAATCATTAGGTTCAGCCCAAGGGCATGGGTAACTGGAGGCAGAGACATGGAGAGCCATGTTAGAGGCTGCCTACCTCAGGTCCCTACTGCTGTCAGGGAAAGGCATTCTAAAGAGATTTTGGGCCAGCTAACAAAAGCATGAAGGGTTGAATCAATGTGACTAAAGGGGATTAAGCATTCAATTGATATCTTTATCTCATTTATTATTTTTAAAATGGAGCTGAGATAAATTCACAGTAGTTACTTATTCCAGGAAAATCTTAATGTGGATTACTAAACTGTGTTTTATCTAAGTTTACTCTGGGAGATGACCAAAAAACAGAGACATTTTTGTGTGTGTGTTTTTTTAAAGATTTTATTGGGGAATTGGGGGAGGGGAACAGCCAAGTTGTTGTCCTTCGATCTTAGTTGTGGAGGGCACAGCAAGCTCAGCTCCAAGTCCAGTCACGCTGCTCAGCTCAAGGTGCTGTGTTCAATTAGTTGCGGGTGGGCGTAGCCACCATCCCATGTGGGAATAGAACCAGCAGCCTTTGTTAAGAGCGCGTGCTGTATCCCCTGAGCCACCTGGGCAGCAGCTCAGCTCAAGGTGCTGAGTTCAGTCTTTAGTTGCAGGCAGGTGTAGCCCACCATTGGAACAGGCAACCTTGTTGTTAGGAGCACATGTTCTCACCAGCTGAGCCATCCCACCACCTGTTGGCAGCTCAGTGGCAGCTCAGCTCTGGCGCAGCTCACTGGCCCATGTAGGAATCCAACCGGCAACCCTGTTGCTCAGAGCTCTCACTCTTGTGCAAGCTCTTAACCAACTGAACTACTCGGCCTGCCCATATAGAGACCTTTTTAAAAAAAGTTTAGTTTGGCTTTATACAAAATATAACTCATTTATAATTCCTATTCGGGGGGAGGGGAGAAAGACAAAATCTCTTTAAACAAAAATTTTAAACATGATTACTACCAGAATTTATAATAACTGTCCAACTGAACTTTGCAAATGTTGATATTGATGCAGTTCTTTCATGGTGTGTGTGTGTGTGTGTGTGTGTGTGTGTGTGTGTGTGTGTGTAAAACCTTAACTTTTTGCTCTCTAAAGACTCGTGAGAAAACTATTTTAGTTTATAGTATTGACAGTAAAAAACATCAAAGGTAGGCTGTTGTTTTGCCAAGTAGAAATGTAAAGACTATAAATAAGACTATACACATGAAATTAAGTTTTGGTTAGCAGATTTTTTTCCAAATAAATTCATCATTGCTAAAATAGAAGTATTAATACTGCCTTCTAGTTGGCTTTCTTCCCATTTGTGTGAGAGATGCTCTATCAGACCAAGGACAGAAATGCTAATTTTGTTTCTTTTTTCACTGGAGTTGATTTTTTTTGTACTCCACGTTTAGAAGAGTCAAGATAGTGAGTTTGGTTTCAGACTTGTGGTACCGAGACCTCTGGAGGATAAGGCCTATCTGGCAGAAACTGTGTGGCCCTCGATTTAAATGCAGAGCTCAGGATTAGAGGCTGTTTTTTGGGGTTATTTACATAAAGGTGATAGTAAAAGCTAGACATGTGAGAGCTTTTCAAAAGGGAGAGAAAGAGAAGAAATAGAGTTGAGACCAGTCTTCGGTATTGCTTATGGATTTGGAAGCAGACCCAGGGAGGAACGCTGAAAAGCAGTGGCTCTTATCCAGAATGCTTCAGCAGGATGGAGTTAGAGAGAATTGTTAGGCAAGAGGCAATGGGAACGCCAGTGTCACAGAAAGGCGGGAGCAAATTGTTGAGGGCCTTACTTGGCAAATCTAAGGAGTATGGGGTTCTTGTGTCTGGCTGATCTCTCTCTCGGGGTACCTGTGTTCCATAGACCATAATGGAATGTCTTGAGGGTGAAGAAGGACGTTCAGTGTTCCAGAGAATCCTGGAGAAAGTGAGAGAGGAGAGCCTGGACGTTCCAGCTGTGGTGTCCCTGCTGCGGCTGTACCAAGATTCTAACCCTGCAGTAAAGACAGCGCTGTTGGGCAGAAAGCCTGAAGATGTGGACTCAGCACAGCCGAAAGGTAGAAGAAAGCCCTGCCCACCTGGTGTGATTCTGGGCAGATGCTGTAACGTTAGCCCCAGTGATACATTTCTTCAGTGACTTAGATACTGTGAAGCGATTTTCACATCAACTCTACATGTAATTCCAGAGGCTGCACGTTAAATATATACAAGCTAAATCTGAGTCTCCTATTATTCCCTAGTTAACTCAACTAGTCTGACACCTTGAAGTTGGAGAATACCATAATGTTCTTCTGCCCTTCAAAAAACCACACGTCCAAATGTTGTGAGTGCCCAGGGTGAACTGGTTCCCTGACAGCACTTTGAAAGGCTGAAGTCTCTCTCATTTGGGTTAGGTACAAAGCGGTGGCCTTGCCAACCAGAAGTTAACCTCTGGCTGGCTCTGCAGCTTTGTGTTTCGACAGATAAATGAAACATTTTTTCCTTTCATAGAGTTTAAACAGAATAATAAAGTATTTTCCTCTCTTTTTTTTAAAAGAGATTCTGCATTTGGGTCCTCAGAATAGGCTGAGAGAATCACTTTACTATTCCGTTAGATCTCTCTTGACAAGCCATGCTGTCATTTTCTTCAAATTGACTAGCTTTTCGGTGCATCTCTAACTCTTTCTCCCCCAGGGAGCACAGAGGAGGGAAAGACCTTGTCTGTTCTGTTACTGGAACACAAAGAGGACCTGATCCAGTGTGTAACCCAGCTGAGACCTATTACGCAGTTTCTGGAAACAGCCAAGGAGGGATTCCTGACTGGCGCTGAGAAAAGGGTAACTGTGTCAAGTGTCTCTTCCTCCCTTTTGAATTTATATGGCACTTTTTTTTTTAACCTCTTTCATGTCGCATAGCACTTTTTACCTTGCAGTATTTTATACACACAACATAGTAAGCACCTTAAAGTTCAGATTCTTGATTTCAGGCCTCTCCTTGCAATAGCTTGCACATTGTAGTCGTACATTAAAAGGTTCGATTCATGGGGCCGGCCGAATGGCACGTTGGTTAAGAGCTGGCTTGGGACACCAGCTCTGAGCAGCAGGGCCCCGGTTTGGATCCCACATGAGGGCCAGTGACACTGCCCTCTACAGCTAAGATGGTGAACAACAGCTCAACCTGGAGCTGGGCTGCCATGAGTCGCCGGCAACAGCATAGGCTGCAGTGAAGCTGCATAAGCTACCGTGTGTAGCCGGCAGCCAGCTTAAGCAGCCGGCAGCCAATGTGAGCTGCCAAGAAGCCACCATGAGCAGCCATCCAGAGGCCAGCGACCGATCTGCCTCACCCGGGTAGAGCGCAATGATAATACCAACATGGGCCAGTGAAGCGACGTCCTCCACACTAGACTGAAGAACAAAAGGACAGCAACTTGTCTGTTCCCCTTCCCCCGATTCCCCAGTGCTGTTCCCATCCCCCCAATTCCCCAATAAAATCTTAAAAAAAAAAAGCTTAGATTCATGGATGGAGGGATATTCCTGCTCTGACTCAGTGAGTTCTTATTATAAAATAGTTGTCCCAAGAGTTGAAGTGTTCAGGCACATTTGTAATTATTATGAATCTTTTCCGCTTTATAGAAATTATACACTGTTCATCTGTAGAAAATTGGGAAAACAAGCAGAAAGAAAAAAGTTCAAATCTTCCAGCACCTCATCACTCAGAGACAATCACTGCTAACATTTTTAAAAATTGTATTGGGGAAACAGCCATGGTAATTGGTTACACATCACTTTCATGCTACATGGCATAGTTGACTCTCTTAAGAAGGACGCAGCTCACAGTGGCCCATGCGGGGATCGAACCTGCCAACCTTGGTGTTATCAGCACCGTGCTCTAGCCAACTGAGCTAATTGGTTAGCCCCCACCATTTTTTTTTTAAGAGCATGTACTCCCTTTTGTTCTCATGTGAATCATCCTGGCATGGGTTATCATACAGTTATATAACTATCTTTTTTATTTACTATATTGTGACTACATTTCCATACCTACAACATGGAGTTTGGTAGCTATATTGTATTCTGTCTAATGGACATACCATAATTTATTAATTCCCTGTTGCTGGGCATTTATTTGTCCCCAGTATTTTGCTGTCATAAATGATGTATGCAGACATCTTTGCATATAAATCTTTGCATACTTCTGAAATTATTTCCTTAGAATAATTCCTAAGAAGTGGGATTTTAAAATAGAGAGTATACAATTTTTCGAGTGCTTGATAGATTCGTATATTGCCAAATTGCCCTTCAAGAAGGTTATACCAATTTACTCTCCCACCAGCTAGCTACTAAAATCCTCATAAAACTGCTGGCATGACTTCTCAAGTCAACTAGATAACTGTGTTTGTTGGTGTTATTGATTTCGACTCTGTGCTAAAAATATTTTTATATCTGGAAGGAAGGAATAGGCACAGAGAACTTTTGTAACATCAATTCTTGAAACTGTGGGAAGTGGCTTAAATGTTCAGGAGAGAAAATGTTTGGAAACCACTGGTGTCATGGCTGAGCACTGGATGGGTACTGAGACTGATTCCAAATTTCCTTTTTTTCAGTAATCTTGTATTGGTATTATTTGGTTTTTTTGTTGTTCATATAAAATGGGAATAATCTTTAATCTCAAAATTATATTTTGCAAATTAATTATATTTTTGAAATGTTAACTCCTTTGAACTTCTTAGAGAAAGATAATGCACAAAATAAGGTTAAGATTAAACCCGTTTTCTCCTTAGACTTCAGATGAAGTGTAACTCCAGGCTCTCAGTTAAAGTAAGTTGCTTATAGCTCTAAAGGTACCTGATTCCCTTGGTGATTTTATTCAGTTACTCATTCAGACCTCTTCCTTATTAGCTGGATTGAATGTGTCCTTTGAACTGTTTTATTATCTTGGTGAAACAGCATTTATAGGTAGAGCCCAAACTCAGCCTCATTCTCTGCACGAGGACAGACCACACTGTCATTTTCTTCTGTCACTTTCAGTTTACCTGACAAGAAAGGGCTAACGCAGAAGAACTTAAATTAATTCCAAGTCAGAAAAACACTTCTTGGGATTGGGGCTCTGCCAGAGCTTCATCAAGCTACTCCTTTCACGAAAATTGAAGCAAAATAATAAAGCAGGAGCCTAGAAGTGACTGTTGATCGAATAGCCACAGTGTTTTGACATCCTGTGGAACATGCACTCAGGCCTTTTCAAGCTTCTTTCTGTTATGGGACGATGCTAAGCATAGGCATCGTGGCCCTGATCTATACATATTTGGATTCTATATAAAATGGTAAATAGTATTGTCTTAAGGGGTGGAAACATACAAAAACAGTAATTACTGCAGCAGCCGTTTATTCAGTGCCCACTGTGTGCCAGAAGTACTGAGGACCTTTTAAGCACATAAATTCTACCCTCACAACAGCTTTATGAAGTCATGGGTATTACCCTAATTTTATAGATGAAGAAACAGACGCCTAAGGAGGTTAAGCAGCTCATGTAAAGACACAGCTGCTTGTGGCCAGTACTGGAACTCAGACTTCTACTAACAAAGCACATTCTCTGAACCACTGTGCATACTGCTTCCTAATATCAGTAGCCATTATTATTTATTAACAATCACACAATCACATGCATCCTAGGAGTTATCATAGGCTCTACAAACAGCAACTTCATTTTACAGAATCCTTGTAAGAACCGTGCAAAAGGTGGTATAGTTACCTTCTTTTACAGATGAGGAAGAAAAATTCCAAAGAATTAAGTAACTTGCCCAAGCTCATACAGCGCTAAATTTTAAAACTGGGTTCAAACTAGGCCTCTCTGACTTTACAATCCATTCCTACTCTTTTTTTTTTTTTTAAGATTTTATTGGGGAATTGGGGAAGGGGGACAAAGTTGCTGTCCTTTTTTTGTTCTTCAGTCTAGTTGTGGAGAAGGTCGCTTCACTGGCCCATGTGGGTATTATGATCATTGCGCTCTTCCTGGCTGAGGCAGATCAGTCGCTGGCCATTGGATGGCCACTCATGAAGGCTCACGGCAGCTCACGCCGGCTGCCGGCCACTCAGGGTAGCTCACAGCAGCCCACTGCAGCTCCACTGTAGCCTGCACCGTCACCTCATGGCAGCCCAGCTCCAGGTCAAGCTGTTGTTCATCATCTTAGCTGTAGAGGGCTCAGCGTCACTGGCCCTCATGTGGGAACCCAACCGGCGGCCCTGCTGCTCAGATCAGGCATCCCAAGCTATCTCTTAACCAACTGAGCCACTCGGCCGGCCCAATCCATTCCTACTCTTAACAGCATCTGGCTGCCTCATTACGTATCAGTTTATTGCTTAGGAACTAAGAGATAGCACTGAAATCAGCATGGCTTTTAGAAACAAGCTCTGAAATTTTAAATGGTGATTCATTTAGTAGAAATCTAATACATAGTAAACCTTAAACCAAAAGAGTGACTCTGTTCTGTACTGAACTTTGATTTATAATATGTACATTCCTTTTGTAAAGATAATGTAGATATCCCTTTCATATATATAAAACCCAATGGGCTTTGTAGCAAAATTCATTATTTTAAAATGGGAGTTAATGTGACAGAGGCGTCCTCTGGCACGCTACCATGAATGAGCCGCTTGACTCTTTCCCCTGAAAGCTGCTACTTCCCCAAAGGAAAGCTCAAAAGTCAGTTACTATGAATCTGTAGATTACGTGTATTGAAATAATTCCCTGCATTAACAGTTCCATAGAGCCACGCTGTGCATATTGTCACAATCCATTAAGAAGCAGTTCTATTGTAATAGGAAAATATCTGTAAAATATCTGAAAATATCTGTAAAACGGCTGTTCCGTGTTTTACTTTTCAATCTTTTCCTTAAGCCTTCTGCCCTCTTGACTTAGAACATCTTCTAGCACATCAAGGAAGAACAGAGAGTGGAATTGTGAGATGATGAGTAGAGCTGATATACGTGGCCATTGAGAATGAGAAGGCTAGATAATAAAGAATCCATAAGAAAAGGAATCCATAAATAGACTTTAAATCTATTATTTTGGAGGCTGCAGACTTAAATTATCTGGGTATTCAAATTGCTATGCAAATAAAGTAAAAGGAAGTAAAATAATAGAATTGCTCTGAAATTGCTAAAGTACTACTGTCGTGTACTTTACTGAACAGAGATCGAAAAACACTGTAATTGTATTAGTTAATTGCCAGCCTGTTTCTCAGTCTTAGTGTCTGAACCAACTAAATCTAAAGAATCATGTTAGAGGTAAGCTACTCGCTGTGCCATATAGGCCTAAGGGTCAGAACATTTTCACAAAATGCAAACTGTTGGAGGCAAAGGAAACACACAGAACTGCAATTGAGAAAGATGGATTTTCATAGAGCTATTTGTTGGAAGAATGTTTTAGATTTGTATTGAAACAGAATAAGGAAGAGACTACGACAAAAGTAACACTAGAGACAAGCCGAGAATGACCTGGAGCTACGGCATGTTGTATGCCATCTTGCTGGGTTTTCCAGTGGTGTGTCAGATGCACTCAGAATTGCCAGTAACTGATGTCTGGTTGATTGCTTGCCACCGCAGGTGATTCTGAATTGCTGTGAGGGCGGAACACCCAAGGAGACAATAGAAAATTTGTTGCACAGAATGTCTGAAGAGAAGACCCTGACTGCTGAGAGTTTGGTAAAACTCCTTCAGGCTGTGAAGATGGCATTCCCGAACTTGGGCCTTCTGCTGGAGAATTTGCAGAAACTAGCCACTTTGCCAAGCACCACAGGTATTCGTTAATTGTGGACTCTCTGGACTGGAACCACTCCTACAGAAAATTATAGCTTAAAATGCCCTTTTCGTTCCATGCTGGGGGTATACGATAATGTTAAGAAATGCCATTGCAAAACAAAAACTAGCTGTCCCAAAGCCCTGATTCTCAGTATTTCTGGAGTTAAGATCTGAAATCTGAGATTTACTCTTCTCCATTAAGATCCCTCCTGATGTTCCAATGGTGCAGGGTTTGTTAAAGTGTGGCTTTCCCAGGGCTGTCACATGTGACCTGTGAATGCCTAAGGAGCAGGCGGGCTTACAATTTTGACAAGTTACGTTGACAAATGTGAGCAATAAAACCTCAAATCTTGATTTCCCCATTCCCACTGGAGTGCTGTTTGGTTCCAGAAGTCCCCACAGTTAACTACCCCTCGTGTCTGTTCAGTTTGGGGCAATGAGTCCATATTCCATTCGGTAGAAAAGCACCAATTCTAGCCAGTTCTCCCCTACCCTTGAGCACTTGAGACTAGATGGTTTTCAGAAAAAACATATTTGAGAAATGGAAGAACTTTTTTCCTGTCTTATGAAAGTCATCTATACTTATACAAACCTAAACAATTTAAAAAATAAAGAAAAAAAACCTAAAAGCCTACCACTTGATTATAGCAGTAGTCACACATTGACGTATTTTATCTGTCACATTATTTTTACAAGGTTGAGATACTCTACCATATTTTATAATTGTATAATTTTTCCCATTTAACAGTATAACATAAACATTCTCCCCATGCTACAGAAACCCCCCTGTGGTCGTATTTTTTGAAGGCTCTGTAGTTTTCCATCATAAGGATGTATGTGACATATTGCTCATGCCCTTGTTTGGGGGCACATGTAGCATAATGGTTAAGACTGTCAAGACTTGCTTTGTAGCATGTGACTTAAGCTTTCTGAACCTCATTCTCTCCTCTGTGACATGAGGATAAAAATGGTACCAGTCACGTTTGTTTTTGTGGCTACTATGACATAACACACGCAAAACATTTAGCCCAGTGCCTAGCGCATAATAGACATTCAGGAAATATTCGTTGTTACTATCTTCATCATCACCACCGGTTATTCAGTGACAGGTATCTTGGTACATAGATCTTTTTGGCCTTCAGATCATTTCTTAAGGTTAGATTCCTATAAGTGGAGTTACTGGGCCAAAGAGGAGAATACATTTTTTAATACCTGCAAAGCTAAGAGAAATGTCTGATGGTGTTAATTTTTCTTCACTTTAAAATAAATACGACCTCTTAAAAGAGAGCACCTAGCAGCTTGGCTCAAAGGGCATGTAAACAGGAGAGTGATGGGCCAGCTTCACTACCAGTCTTGACTCATGCCCGCCGTATTTTGGACCACCACATGGATCCTTTACCTCAGGCTTGATGGATACCACCCCTCGGATCTGTACATATGAATCTCTTACAAGTGCAGCCTTCTAATTACCCCCCTGTTGAGCAGTTGCTAGCTTCTGCCACCGGGCGCCGACTTTCAAAGGCTTAGCGGTTCTGTGACCCTGAAGCACCAAGTGATTAAGTGTAGACCGAAGGAGATCTGCACACATGTGTATGAGGCCCCAAGCCAGGAGCTGAACTTTCTCTCCAGAGGAGAAAGAGCTCTTGTGCTGATATCCCTTCCTCTCTCGTTTGTAACTCCCTTGGTCTTCTGTAGGAGAAGCCCTTTAGGAGGCTTTGTTCTATTTAACGTTATTGTTTTGCTAATATCCTTACAGTCCAGGCAAGCCCTGAGGATTATGGGACCGAGCTATTGCGACGGTATCACGAAAACCTCTGTGAGATTTTCACAGACAACCAGATGTTACTACAAATGATCCCACACATGAAGAGGTTAGCCCCTGGAGAAAGAGAGGTAAGAGGGAGAAAGAGAGGGAGCAGGGAGGGAAAAATGAGACAGAAGTGAAAAGATGAATATATATATATATATATTTTTTTTTAATATATTTATATTTTATGTAAGTATATACACACAGCCATGCTGAGGAATGCTAAGGGGTCAACAAAAAAAGAGAAATAGAAGGTGATTCAATTTCTAAGGCAGAATGACAAGTAGGTTAGTTGTAATTTCTGCAGTAATAAGGAAAGGCGTTCAAAGGGAGGAGTGAAGAGCTTTGTTAAATATAAAAATCTTTCCGGTGGAGAGAGGTGTAGGATGTTGAAAAACTCCCCAGAAATACCTGTAACCCAGTACTCAGACTTGCAGCTGTGCAGCTGGGCCAGTGGCTAGAAAGCCCCTCACGTGCGTGTTTGTGCTGTATCTTGAAGGTCATGGAGAAGCTTGTGAAACGCGACTCTGGTTCAGGTGCTTTCAGTTCTTTGATGTCAGCTGTTCTAGAAAAGCAGACTCTCTCTGCAACAGCCCTTTGGCAACTGCTGCTGGTGGCTCAGGAGGCAAAGACCTGCCCACTGAACGTGCTTATGGAGGAAATACGAAGGGAGCCCGGTGCCAATGCGCTCTTCCGGGCAGGTAGGTTACGCGCTGTGGTCATAGCTTTCCCCGGCTAGAGGCTGTTGTCTGTCTAGCCAGAAAATAGAGCTCTCTATGGGAGCCTTCCACAGCCCTTCCATCGGAAGCCAGGCCTGGAAGTTTTGTTCAAGAATGTAAACCGTTTCAAATAAAATGTGCAGTAAGTATTCTAAGCTTATGTTAGTAATTATACGAGCACTCTGAGTGCAGTGCTATCCACCACTTTCCTCACTCCCCTTGCCAGGTAGGAGACAGGTGAAGTGTACCCTCATTTTGAAGAGCTGAGTTGAGAGGAGGTGAAGGGAAGAGATCATGCTCATAGTTTCACTAATGAGTTTTCAATCCCCCTTTTTTTCAGTGACCACCCCGGAAAGTGCCGCCTTAGAGACCATCCTGAAGCATCACAAACTGATCCTAGAGGCCATCCAACACAGGCTTGAACTCAAGGGCTTTGCCTCAGAGGAAGAGCACCTGGCAGAGACTGTGAAAGAGGTGTGGTGGGAATAAAAACCGCTCTGTTTCAGAGAGTTTGCAGTTAATGGCTGCGACTGCCTCATTCCTAAGGGAGGAACAACTTCTGTAGAGCGTCTGCTGTGTGCTGAACCAGCTACAGTTCATAACACTCTTGCCCTTGTAGTCCTCCCAACTCTAAATGGCAGCTGATGTCGTCCACGTTTCACAGATAAGAGAACTGAGGCTCTGAGGGAGGTTCCAGCTGGTCAGAGACGAAGCCTGAATTTGAACCCAGGTTCCTGGGACAAATAGATGTGTTCCATTTGTCTAAACCTTGGTAAACTCAAAGGGAGCCCTGATACTGCTCTCTAACATGTTTTAAGAAGCATCTTCTTTTAGAGGAAGGAAAGTAAAACAGTCTTATTACATACTCCATTCTGGCTTCTAGGAAGAGCCAAGATAAACATAGCTAGAGCAAAGCTTTTGCCCATACGGGGTAGCAAATAGTGCCAACTCATTTTCTGTGAGGCTTCTCACAGTGGGGCCAGCATCCCAGAAAAACCAGGTGGGGAGTGGGGGAAAATCCATGAATGTCCAGCGCAGGATCATGTGCCTCTTGAGTGCGGAAGAATTATGAAGAAACATACAATGGAGCTACAGATTCCACCTGCAGTGCATTTTGATCCAAGTAGGCATGGAAGGGCTGGTTTCTAACTGTCCACACAGGTGACAGCCCACCTTGGCCTGACCCTCAGATGGGAAGAAGGTGGCACACATTTCCATAGGCTTCAGAGGGAAGATTCATCCGCTCGACTCTGTCCAGCTCGCCACATACTTCAGAGACGGGGCTCCTGCAGTTGATCAGCTTTAGCCTCACTAATTAGTCTCATGCCTGTCTCCAGGGACATCAGGCTTATTTAGATAGACTTGAAAAGAGCAGAAATAAAATATCTTCCAAGATGAAAATTCCATTTGGCCATCTGTGGGTGGTTTAGCTTTATTTTCTCAGTGTACTGACTCTTTCTGCTGATAGCTCGAACATTCTGCAAGAGGACGGCTTTGAAATCATATTCCTGGCCTCTTTAAAGCCCCTATTTGAACCTTCTCTAAAAAGCAGAGTTTCTTTCTGAAAGAAAATGATGTTTAAAAGGGTACAGCTAAGTATCTAAAAATGTGAGGCCACTGATCATGCAGAATTACTTCCAGACATTGAGGCAGTTATATATTATGAAAAATTGTTTTGATCTTCAAGACAGAAACATTAACACCCAAATCCTACAGGTTTCCAAGCTTTGAATATTAAGATGTAGAAAGTTCTTTGGGAGACCACCAGTTCCTGAGAAGATATTTCTCATAGAAAATGCTTAATGCTTTCTTGCATTTTTTTTTCCGCTCTTTTTCTTTTTTATTGGGGAAGGGGAACAGCCAAGTTGTTGTCCTTCAATCTTAGTTGTGGAGGGCACAGCTAGCTCAGCTCCAAGTCCAGTTGCCAACTGGCTGCCTGTCGGCAGCTCGCAGCCACTCAGCTCAAGGTGCTATGTTCAATCTTTGCTGCAGGAGAGGGCATAGCCCACCATCCCATGCAGAAGTCGAACTGGGAACCTTGTTGCTAAGAGTGCACACTGTAACCATTGAGCCATCTGGCCACCCATCAGCAGCTCAACAGCTAAGCTCAAGGTGCTGTGTTTAACCTTAGTTGCGGGTGGGCATAGCCCACCATCCCATAAGGGAGTCGAACCAAACAGACAACCTTGTTTTTAGGAGCACGTGCTCTCAACAGCTGAGCCATCCTGCCACCTGTTGACAGCTCAGTGGCAGCTCAGCTCGGGTGCAGCCCAATGGTCCATGTGGGAATTGAACTGGCAACCCTGTTACTCAGAGCTCACGCTCTTAATCAACTGAGCCATTCGGCCGGCCCCTCTTGCACCTTCTTTATATTTGCACATTTGTCTTCACATGTGCCTCCTTTTTTTTTTTTTTTTGGTTAATTTCCCTGTTCCTTGGAAAAGAGGGTTCTCCACTACATTTATCACAAGCGATGTAAACTTGTTACACTATAGATGGAGTGATGCCTTCCTGAAATTAGCTTTTTTTAAAAAAAGTTGAAAACCGTGTAGAAAATCCGCTGATACTTACCGCAAACCTTTGTCTCATGATATTCATTTAGATTCTGAGCATTTTCTCTGAGACAGCCGCCTCTGAAACGCCCCTGAGAGCAGTGCTGAGCAGAGCCACGGAAAAAGGCATCTCGGCCATGGAAATATGTCACCTCCTGTGCAGCGTCCACAGATCTTTCCCAGGCTTGCAGCCTGTCATGCAGGAGTTGGCTTGTGCTGGTAAGAAACAGGGTGGGGTGGGGGTCCTATCAGGCCCTAGGTTATTTTCTTGGTGGAGAGAAGAGGCAGCCAGCAGTTATATGAGTGTTCATCCATTGATACCTTATTTATTTCTTTTATATGCTCTCAATACTTAGAAAAGTCATAGACATAGATGTAAAATGATGCTCTTTGTGTTAATCAGAAAGTACAGATGACAATGAGGATCTCATTGTATGAGGGCCTCAAGTAGTCTATTTTCTCCTCTAAGAAGAAAAATTAGAAAGCAAAGTAGAAACATAGAGAATTCCCAGAGCCATGAGATTTCTCTCCTCTGCAGGTTTCCTTACTCAGGAAAAGGGAGACAAGGAAAGGTGGGAGGTGAGTAATAAATTTCACCTTGAAGCCAACGACAAAGTGGATGAAAAGCCTGCTGAGCCAGCCAAAGAAGAGTGCCAGTCGGGGAAACAGAACCATCAAGGAGAGAATAGTTCCTTGGCAAAACAACAAGAGAAAGACACCTCTGCCTCCCCAGACTCTGCCAAGAAGAGCTTCATCTGTAAGGCCTGTGACAAAAGCTTCCATTTCTACTGCCGCCTCAAGGTGCACATGAAGCGCTGCCGGGTGGCCAGGAGCAAACAGCTGCAGTGTAAGGAGTGTAACGAGACCAAGGATTCTAAGAAGGAGCTGGAGAAACATCAGCTGGAGGCCCATGGTGCAGGCGGAGAGCCCGATGCCCCCAAGAAGAAGAAGAAGAGGCTTCCGGTGACGTGTGACCTCTGTGGAAGAGAATTTGCTCACGCCTCAGGTACATTCCAGAAGGCACGGTGACCGAGGGTGATGATTCCGGATATTGTGGTTTGGGTCCCAGGCCTGGCCTCCGGCTGAATGCAGTAAGGGCCGTGGATGGGTTTAGAACATAGAGCAGGTTCCTACAGAGGTGGGGTGATGTTTTGAGAAGAGCATGAGCTTTGGAATCAGCTCTCTGAGCTTTACTTTCCCCATCTGTTAAATAGGCACCCCGATACCACCTACTTTTTCAGATTGTCCTGAAGATCTAAGAAAATACAGCTAAACACCTAGTACAGCGTCTATAGTAGAGTTAGTACTCAGTGAATTGTGGCTGTTATTATTCATAACGATAACCAGCTATTTCACACCTGACCCTTAGGCTTCCATGCATCACGTCACGTGTTTCTTGATAATAAACAAGAGTCATGGAAACGATGTGATGTATAGCCAGCGTTTCCCCCTGCCCCAGATGTTGGATAAACCTAATGAAACATAAAAGCAAGTTTTGTTTCGCTCTTTCTGGGTGACTGGGTCCTATGAGAGAGAGAGAGAAAGAGAGAGAGAGAGAAAGAGAGAAGCAGGATATTTTATGCCTGGGACCAAGGTGACTTTGGAGTGCTGGGTGGTGGGCACATGGGCAGCATGGTGGTGTGAGGTCAAAGCGAGCATGACCTGGAGTCCTGTGCTTCATGCTGTGCTTCAGAGGCCTGGCCTGAGATGGTGCTGCTGTGACATATCTCGTGCCGGCTTCATCACACTGATTGCTAGTCTCTCTCTGGTCCTTGGCATGGCTTCCCTAGGCATGCAGTACCACAAGCTGACCGAGCACTTTGACGAGAAGCCCTTCTCCTGTGAAGAGTGTGGGGCAAAGTTTGCAGCCAATTCCACCCTGAAGAACCACCTTCGCCTCCACACGGGGGACCGCCCGTTCATGTGCAAGCACTGTCTCATGACCTTCACCCAGGCCTCTGCCCTGGCCTACCACACCAAGAAGAAGCACTCGGAAGGTAAGGCATGGAGGATTTCTGCAGTTCCCCTGCAGACTTTAACTGGGCGAGCTGCCTAAACACCCACTTGGAATCAGGCATGAGATATATATCTCTCAAGAGGATTCAAAACAAAACAGAACATAAAATCTCTAGGCACACAGATGACTAGGAATGCATATGTGCACAGGCATATAAAATGCTTACGGTGAGAATTTCTGAAGAGAGACTGGCTAACATCGTATTATGACTTTATAGTTATAGAGTTGACATAAAGCCAGGAATTCCTTGGGCTTTGAGGTGGAGTTAAAGCATGAGCAAAGCCTTGATTGAGTACCTCTGCTTCCGTCATCATGCCTCCCCCTCTGACTCTTCTTTCTCCCTCCTACAAGCACCCCTGTGATTACACTGGGCTTGCTTGCGTAATCCGAGGTAGTCGTCCCATCTCCAGATCCTTCACTTAATCTCATCTACAAAGCCCTTGGCCATGTAACATAGCAATATCCACAAATTTCAGGGCTTGGGATGTAGACATCTTTGAGGCCATCACTCTGATGACCACAGGAAGCCATAGGAGAGTTTTGAGCCAAGGAGTGGTAGGATCTGGTTTACATTTTTTTAAAGTTAATTCTGACCACTCTGGACAGTAGACTATAATAGGGCAGGATTGCAATATAAACATGGAGACAGGAGGCATTGCAGCAGTCCAGAGCAGAGGTGATGGAGTTGTCAACTAGAGTTGTCTTGGGGCGCGGTGGGGTGCTGTAAAAACTGTTCAAGCTTGGGGATATATTGCTGAAAGTGGAAGTAACGGGACTAATGATGGATTGGATGAGGGATGTGAGGGAAGGAGAGGATTGAAGGATGGCTGTGGAGTTTTGGGCATGAGCGACTGAGTAAATGCTGCTGCCATTTACTGAAGTGGGGGAAATTGGAGCATGGTGGGTGGGTGTAGAGAATCAGGAGCTCTGATTTGGATGTGATAAGTTTGAGGTACCTGTTAGACCTCCAAGTAGAGAAGGAGAGGAATAGGCAGTTGGATATAAAAGTCTGGAGTTCTCGGAAAAGCTGGGAGCGAGAGATGTGGGAGTTATCAGTGTACAGATGGGATATACAGCTCTGAGATAAGATCTTCTAGAAAGGGAGGATAGGGATGAGGTCTGGGACTTCTCAATAACTAACTCTTGACTTAAGGAGCCTCTTTTTTCTAATAATCTTATTTCAGTGTAAGACATGTAAAAATGAAAATGAGGTTGATTGCTCTAGTGTAAGTAGGCCTAGGACTTGAGGGTTCTTGGCCCTCACCTCACTGATTTCCCTACTTCTCTGTTGGCCCATAAGGGATCTGGGAGGTACAATTGGTCTAGCACTTTTTACAAATGCCAGTTTTCCAGACTTGCTCTTTTTTTTTTTTTTTTTTAAAGATTTTATTGGGGAATTGGGGGAGGGGAACAGTGTTGGGGAATCGGGGAAGGGGAACAGACAAGTTGCTGTCCTTTCGTTCTTCAGTCTAGTTGTGGAGGACGTCGCTTCACTGGCCCATGTTGGTATTGTCATTGTGCTCTTCCCAGGTGAGGCAGTCACTCACCGACCATTGGACGGCCGCTTACGGCGGCTCACGAAAGCACACACCAGCTGCCTGCCAGCCCCACTGCAGCCTATGCCATCGCCCGCGACTCACGGCAACCCAGCTCCAGGTCGAGCTGTTGTTCACCATCTTAGCTGTAGAGGGCGCAGCATCACTGGCCCTTACGTGGGATCCCAACCGGGGCCCTGCTGCTCAGAGCTGGCGTCCCAAGCCAAATCCTAACCAATGCTCCACTTGGCCGGCCCCCAGACTTGCTGTTTACCTGTATTTTCTAACAGTCTTTGACAGCCTGGTCATTATATTCTCAGCATATGAATGAGAAAATAGAGAAGCCAAGTGATCTGTAACAACTCTGGCAAGTCACTGGGAGAAGGCTTTCATTCTCATCTGAATCCATGTCTCTCATCTTTATGGGCAATTGCAACTCTGCACTGAATCAATGTGTTTCAAGGGATCCCACTTGTGGGTGTTTCTGCTTCCTGGGAGTAGAATGAGCTCTTCCGTACTAGGGTGGCCTGGTTAACAGATGGGAAGTCTTGTGTGATAAGAACTCTGTCCTTATCCCTCAGGGTAGGGAGACCTCACTGACACCCTCTCTGTTTAATCAGTTGTGTTTGTGAGGTGTCGTCAGACCTCTCACCCAGTGGATTACAAGTTGCCTGATGTTTTTCTGTCATCTCGTAGATTATATTTCCCCGCTACATGCCTTAGAATGTGACTTTTCTTTTTAGGCATGTCATAAATGTTTCGTGCTGGCTCTAATAAACTCATGTATATTTCCAGGAAAAATGTATGCATGCCAGTACTGCGATGCTGTGTTTGCCCAGTCCATCGAGCTGTCCCGCCACGTGAGGACCCACACCGGGGACAAGCCATATGTCTGCAGGGACTGTGGCAAGGGCTTCCGGCAAGCCAATGGCCTCTCCATTCACCTGCACACCTTTCACAGTATGTACTGAGATTGTAGATGTTGGGCCCCCAGCACCAGGCTTGGCCCTGAGAAAGCCTCTAACAGTCCTAATGGAACTGTCACTCCACCAGAGCTGGGCCCCCCACTTAGTGCCTTCCCCTCCCTGCTCTGCAAAACCCAGAGCACCTCATTTCTATTTCAAGAGGAATCCCATTTTAACATGTCGCTGTGTGATGCCTATTTCTCTCTCTGCCAGGCCGTTTCCTTGTCTTTTGTTTTTTAGCCTGGCCCTGTGTGGCTGACAGAGGCAAATTATATTTGAAGGAAAGAGCCTCTGTAAGAAACAGGTTAACTGAACACCGGGATACTCTCATTTGTCCACAGCTTCTATTTTCTCCTCCCACCCTCCTCCTCCACTCTCATCTGATGGGCATCGTGCCTTTCCCCAGAGCAGCAGCCGGACCCTTCCTGAGTGAGCACGGTCCCTGGTCACGCTCCCTTACAAGCCTTCTGCCCAGATTCTCGTCCACATGCCATGGGTTCCCTCAATGAGTGGGGTCTGCGCCCATCTTTCTCCCCTTCTCCTAGGCTGATACACAAACACACCCCTGCTGAACACACAGGCCCAGGAAGGGAGGGGATCCTCTGTGAGTCCCCGTCACAGTGTCACAGCGTCACAGCGTCAGGAAATCGCCATGTGGCGCCTGGCAGCCACCGCTCACTCCCACAGCTGCTCGGAGCAGCAGGAGTGTGATCAGCGCAGCACAGCAGGGGCCTCACAGCTTGGTCTCTGAAATCACGCAGGCCTGGATGTGAATATCGACCCCGCCATTTACTCCCTTGAGGCCCTTAAACAAATGTCTTTACCTTCCTGAGCCTCGTAGGCTCCGTCTATAAGCTAAGGAACATAGTAACGCTGGCACCTTGGATTGTGGTGAGGATGAAGGGAGCTGTCACGCGTGAGCGTGAAGCTCCACAGCTGACACACACACACATGCTCCCTTCATGCCAGAAAGTATCATTGGTGACAAGAGCAACCCTCTCAGGTGCCATCTGTCACCATCAAAGCCTGTGTGTTTTACACGCGTGCACCTTGCATCCCCTTCTTCCCCTCTCCCCTCCCCACACCTGCTCCCCACGCACCAGCGTCTAGCTGTTGACAAATACAGTGCCTCCCAAACCTGTTTTTTAAGTCAGCACGTTCCAGTGTGTTGTCAGCCAGCCAGCAAAGGACTTGGCCAGAGCTGCTCGGTGCCCAGCATGTGGCTGGACACTGGGCGATGCAGGAGGAAGAGAAAAGGCTGCCCTTCTGCCCCCAGGGACTGTACAGGACTGTCCAGAACGTCCAGTTGCAGTAGACTTCCGGATCCATGAGATTGGCTCGGATCCAATGCCACAATTTTTATGTCCCCTGATCTCCTTAAGTGACACTCTGCTTTAGTCTCCCTTTCCCAGTAGCGTTCTATGGGAGTCTGGGAAGTGGGGAAAGACATTATTAGTTTTCAGAATGGCGAGGACCCAAAATATGTTGCCACGCGTCAGAGTATATCATTGGGAGCAGGCCCAGCATCCAGGCTCGTCTCTTTGACTGCTCCTTACCTGTTTCGTAGGACCACATCGTTGCTTATGGGGAACTGCTTCAAAGTGTCTTAAAAGGCAGTGTAAAACTGGGATAGCAAGAGCTCATGTCCACAGGGAAACTCGTTAATGATACCGAGTGCTGCTGCGTGTCAGAATTCCTGAATTAATCCGAATCAGTGCACATATAGGATTGGCTTGTGGGCAAAGGATTTTATTATTAAAACATTTCACTTTCTGTTATTTTCAGAAAAAGACTGAAGTTTCCTGCCCTAGGGATGGCAAATGTATTCTTCATCAGTGCTAGTTCGTATTTTTAAGATCCCACTGAAGAGCTGGCATGTCCAATTAAGCATGTAGCTCAGAGCATGGCCTGGGGGGTGCAAGCTGGGCTTGTTACCTCGTTCAGCCATTTCCTACCTGTGCCACTGGGCACTCTCTAAGCCTTGATTTTGCTCTTCTAGGAGATAGGACTGATAAGAGCATCTAGTCACAGGGTTATTGGAAGGAGTAAGTGGGTTAATCTATATCAGGCACTTAGAACGTGCCTGTCACATGGCACTCATTAAACATTACCTATGAAAGTTTTTATTATTGAGTCTAAAGTGGGAGCAAGGCAGCATTCCTCCTGTTATTCATATGATTGACAAAAAAGGAAATGAGGAGGAGGTTGGAAATCTCTATAGAGAATTAGAAAACAGAAAAGCCCCCTGCAAGCAGGGGACGAGCAAGAGCGATACACCCTGGAAAGCTGTAAAATGGAACTTAACTTGTAAGGTGTAAAACGAAGACTTGAGTGAACTGTTTGATGCTGCAGAGGCAGTGACTGCAGAAACCTTGGAGGAATCGCGCCTCCTGGGAGGAAGGCAGGGGCTGGTCAGGTGGCCGCGGCACCGGCTTCTGGTCCTCGGAGTCGGTGACCCCGCACATGACCTCTGAACACAGCCACCCGCTCCTCACTGACTGCTGCCTGTGGTGTTTTTTTCCCTGCGCCCCGTTCTCTCGTGGAACCAGACATAGAAGATCCCTACGACTGTAAGAAATGCCGGATGAGCTTCCCCACGCTGCAGGACCACCGCAAGCACATCCACGAGGTTCACTCCAAGGAGTACCACCCCTGCCCCACGTGTGGCAAGATCTTCAGCGCCCCTTCCATGCTGGAGCGGCACATGGTGACCCATGTCGGAGGGAAGCCCTTCAGCTGCGGGATCTGCAACAAGGCCTACCAGGTGACAGGCTCCCCGGGGATGCTCCCCCGTCCCCGTCCCTGTCCTGCTCTCCCTTTGGTCTTCCTTGATTCCCATTCTGGGGCTTGTGGAGCACATCTTGTCTCCAGGATGTGACGATATGGCGGGTTGTCATGAAGAATGCAGCTTATAATAATTCAGATTCTTTAAAGCGACCTGGTCAGAGTAATGCTATGGGGGAGCTTTCATCAGAGCAGAGTTCTCACACCCCTGAACTGAATGCTGCTTCCCACCTTGGGTACTCACATTCTGTAGAATCGATTGACCCCATGTGTCAAGGGACATGAGGATGACAATAGGATGTGTAACATTGCTTGGAATGCTCTTGTTTAGTGCAATTAACTGTTTTTTATTTTGACTCCCAGGGAAGGGCTCTGCTTTTTTTTACCATAAAATTTGGTATATAATTAAAGTGAACCCCATATATTAGAACCCCATATATATATATATATATATGTATATATATATATGTATATATATATAATAGAACTGATAAGAAGCCAAGAATGGTCCTTGCTGGCACCTGTAAGATTTGGGTTATAGAGAGAAGCACAGCAGCTAATTTCGGCCCAATAAAAATTGAGAATGAGCTTTGTGCCAAGCCTTGTGCTGTGACATTAGCGTGACAGAGCTGAGTAAGACCCGGGCTTGGTCTCTAGGAAACCATGGAATCGGGGGAGAGTGTCCTGATGCTGCTCTGAACCCAGGAGGGAGGGGGACCCTTGCTTATGGAGTAGGGACAGTGTGTACCCCTGCTCCGGCAGCTTTCTCTGCTGCACCCCTGGCCTCTGAGAAGCCCTGAGGTACAGCTCAGTGGTGAAGAGCAGATACTCCAGTCAGAAGGCCAGGCTTTGAGTCCTGGTCCTACTACTAACTAGTCGTGTGATCCTGAGCAGGTCATTTCAGCCCTCTGTGTCTCACCTTCTGCCTTGCTGGAAAGATTCTGACTCCTCCTTCCCTCCCGCGCTCGATGTAAGTCTCTGCTGAGCCCTGTCGTGGCCTCTCAGGAAATGCCCAGGTGCCTTATTCCCGCAAACACTATGGCCTCTTGCGCGCGTCAGCACTCACGGTGATAGTAAGAGTGTGATTCGAGGTCCACAGGCTTACCGGAGAATGACTTTCTTTCTCGCACGAGGGCCTTGTGAGCTCTCCAGCTTGCTGGAACATTCTAAGACCTCACACTTGCCAAATTCCTTGCAGCAATTGTCTGGTTTGTGGTACCACAATCGGACCCACCACCCTGATGTGTTTGCTGCTCAGAACCATCGATCTTCTAAGTTCTCGTCACTCCAGTGCAGTTCCTGTGACAAAACCTTTTCTAACACCATTGAACACAAGAAGCACATCAAAGCGGAGCACGCAGGTACAGTTGGGGTGCCACAGGCAGGGAGTGTGAACTGATGAGTGGCAGTGGCATGGTGACGCCGCATCCTGGGTTCTGTCTCCAAATCCCGGCTTCCAGTGCCAGAGGGTGGCATGCCATGGCTATTCCCTTTGTTCTGCAACAGCACACCTGAAGGATGCCACACTGGTTCAGTACCAGGAGCTTGAGTGACAGTGGTTCTAGGGCACTGTAAGGTCCTGTCAGCCCCCAGAGTGATGATCAGTCATAGCTCATGGGAAGGGTGGCAGCTTTGGTGGCAGACAGGCCTGGGTGGAAATCCCGACTGATAAGCTGTGTGACCTTGGCAAGTGACTTCTCTTTTCTCAGCCTGTTTCCTTCTCTTCAGAATGGCTGGTCTTAATACCTACCCTCCAGGTAAGTTTGGGGATAATCACAGCAGCCAATAGTTAGGAAGTATTTCCTGCGTGCAGGGCACCATGCTAAGCACTCTGTCTTCTGTTGTTCAATTCTCCCAACAACGCTGTTTGCATCCAGGCCATCTGGAGCCAGCTCTGGGGTCTCTCCCACCAAGTTACACGTCTGTATCATAGGTGTACGGTTCCTGGCACATGGTAGATGCTTGCTAAGCATTAGCCATCACCCCACCCCCAGCCCTGTCGTGCTCCAGCCTTAAAGAGCCATCCTTTTGTTCTTTCCTCACATGCTTTGCAGATATGAAGTTCCATGAATGTGACCAGTGTAAGGAGCTCTTCCCCACGCCAGCTTTGCTACAGGTTCACATCAAGTGCCAGCATTCAGGTCAGTGCCCCGGAGGTGCGCTGTGTATGTGTGTGGGGGGGGCTGCGGGGGAATCTCATCTCACCATTCACAGCTGTGCAACCCAGGCTAAGCCACTTAACTAACTTGTGCCCCCATTTCCTCATCTATAAGACAGGGACAGTTGTAGTTCCTACCTCATCAGGTAACTGAGAATTGAATATGTCAGTAGACAGAAAACACTGAGCGCCTGGCACCCGTGAGCACCCCTGAAGCATTACCTGTGATTGTCGTTGTTACTGCTCTGCCTCATCAGACCTGAAATAAATTGATAAAGAATCCAGCTCCTCAGAGTAGCTTTTGATTCAGGTTGTGGATATGCGTGTTATGCCCCATGCTGTTGTACTCTGCCCTCAAGAGCACTGGTGATGGAGCACATAGTGAGGCCACTGGTTTGGGTCCCCTGAGCATCATGGGAAACTGGTCTACTTTAGGCTCCTGCTGTGGGAATGCCCAAACATTTCGCCCCCCGCCTCCCTTCTCCTCAACCTTTGAGTTCCTATGAATTAAAGACATGCACCACTGCTGTCTTGGGGCTTTCCTTCCAAGCCGTGGACACACATTGCGCAGGTCTTGATCTGTAGGACTTCATCAGGTTTCATTGCTCATACATGCACAGTCGTTGACAATGACAGCCGAGTCCATAGCAGTTGGAAGATGCCATTGAGTTCATAGAGAGATGTTAAACTGTGCTTCTTAGAAATGATGCAATGCAGTGTCGTCAGCATCAGTATCTACAGTTGCATGAATAACAGGTTCAGCAGAGGCAGGTTCGGCCTGAATCCAGTGCCGCTGACACTATGGCTTCAGGGAAGCTTCAGGTCCCACAGAACCTGGGTCTGCCTTTGTACCTCAGTCCTCGCTGCTCCTTCCTCTCCCCTCTCCCTCCTCTGTTATTCCACCCACAGCCCATCCCTTCTGTCTCCCCACCTCCAGGGTCGCAGCCATTCAGGTGCTTGTACTGTGCGGCTACTTTCCGCTTCCCCGGCGCACTGCAGCACCACGTCACCACGGAGCACTTCAAGCAGTCAGAGACCACCTTCCCCTGTGAGCTCTGTGGGGAACTCTTCACCTCCCAGGCCCAGCTTGAGTGTCACTTGGAATCTGAACACCCAAAGGTGACGGGCACCGAAACCCCAGCAGCAGCCTCGCAGGTGGTGCAGGTGACTTGGGGGCCGGCAGACACGAGGGTGCTAACACGGGGTTCCTAAGGCTTCTGTAGAGGCAGCTCTGTCACAACACCCAGCCTCCCTCTCCCGGGCTCTCAGGGTCCTGGAAGCAATGATTCACCACCAAGAGGACCTGTGGGGGTCTCCACACCTCTTACAAACAACAGAAAATTGTGTGTGTGAGACAGCCCCTAGGTCGTGGGGGCCTAGGTCAGGAATTTCTAGAAGCTGAATGACCTTGGCTTCTCTTCCCAATGCACACACTCCCCCACCTTCTGTGAAACACCGTGGGATGTGGTCAGAGTTACAGGACACCTCACAGAAGGGCGGATGGCTCTTTGTTAGGAACATTCTCACAGAAATACTTTGATTGTTCCTCCGGGCTAGACTCAGGACACAGGTGGACATGTCAGGCCTCTCGTCTCCACCAGGGTGGAAAGCCACCTCTCCTGACGTTTCCAGGCTCAGCTTGCTCCAGCCCCTGGTTCTCTTTTACTGTTCTTCCCGTCTTCTGCAGAGAGGGCGGCAGAAAAGGGAAGGCGGCTCCCTTCTATTGATTGGCAGAAATTTGTGGGTGGATGGAAAGGAACTGCAAACTGATTGCACGTCCCCCTGTCCAGCATCCCGGAGCGGTCAGTCATTCATAAACCATGTTCTCCGGCCTCTGTGGGGAGCAGAGGGCAAGTCAGGTGGGCAGCCTCTGCGTGATTCTCCCACCGCTGTATCAACCAGAACCAAAGCTCTGCTTTTAGCTTTTCCGTATACTAGGATTCTTGGTAAGATGTCCTTTGGGAGAAAGAAGATGCTGTTGCTAAAAGAAAAAAGAAGGAAAACACAGTTTGAAAACGACTGTCGTAGATGAGTTTTGAGTGAACGTCACAGTGGGCTTCTTCACTCCCAGCAGCACAGAAGTGGTAGAGGTGGCGTCCCCGCTTTTGCCCGCTCGTGTCGAGTGCCTTGCTCCCCACCCCTGGTCAGCTCTCAAGAGCTACCGTGTTTCCTCAAAAATAAGACCAGGTCTTATATTAATTTTTGCTCCAGCAATCTACATTTATTCATTTATTCATGTACAAAAATCTACATTTATTCAAACAGTCATGTCTGGCTGACGATCTTAACTGGGGCTTATGTTTGGGGTAGGGCTTATTTTCCAGTTAGGTCTTATTTTCGGGGAAACACAGTAGGAGGCCTATGCCCCCTTCAGGCAGTCTGGTTTGAAAATACTAGGGGATGTCAAGCTGCCCTGAGCTCCACAGGTCAGAAGCGTCAACCTGGAGGTTCAGGCAGAAACAGGGTATATTTAACCACAGACTAGTTCTCCTTGAGTCGGGAAGGTCATCTTTAACAGATGATGCAGGTGTGGAGGGGGTATGTGTGGCTCTTGGAAGAGAGAAGGAGGTGCCTGCCTTGCCAGCCTGGTGAGCCAGATGAGTGATTTGACAGAAGTCACATTTTGTCCACCTGCTCACCCTCCTGCAGTCACTGGCTCTAGCCATGTGACTACCTAGGAAGGCTCTTATCCTGATGGAGGCCCAGAGACGCCACCTTGGGCAAGGTGAGGCTTCTGGTAACCATCCCAGGTCCATGGTTCACGCATGAGAATCACCGCCTTCAGTGGCATTCCTTTCACATGGTGCTTACCTCTGCAATGTAATCCTTGAGACAGGAAAAGCCAGCGTGAGAAACTGAGCCAGCGTTCACCGGTGTGTAATCATAGCGTCCAGGCCCCCCGAGATGGCTTACTGAGCTAAATTATAGCAATTTCGCACACAGAGTTATTTAAATGGTTCGCCTGCCTTCCCTTTTGCATCACCGGTGTGTTAGGTTTGCTTCTTCCCATTCGGCACATGTAATTACTCTCCTCAGGTGAAAACATAAATACCGTCATTACAGCATGAGATGAAGAGCATGTAAATTCGGGGGCGCTAACTGTGGGCACTGCCCAGAGCAGCCCCCCGGCTTTTCCCTTTCAGGTAATCCAAAGCCCGGAGCCCACGGTCCCGACCGAGCAGGTGATCACTTTGGAGGAGACCCAGCTTGCAGGTTCACAGGTGTTCGTGACGTTGCCCGATTCGCAGACATCTCAGACCAGCTCTGAGCTGGTGGCGGTGACCGTGGAGGACCTGCTGGATGGCACCGTGACCCTAATCTGTGGTGAGGCCAAGTGAGTGGTGCCCGTCCGTGGAGGGTCCTGTGTTTGCCCTCCACCCCTGGCTGTCCCGTGTGGTGAGCATCTTCGCCTGGTACCAGCCAACATGGCCTCACCTGGAAAACAGAAGTGGCGTCATCGTTGTCACAGAACCAACAATGTCTGAATCTTCGACGCTGACACCACTGCTCTCCATAGCAGGCAGGCCTCCTGCCCCTCAGGCCTGCTGCTGTGGCCTCCATGACACTGTCCATCCCCAAGTGGAGTAACTTCTGAAAAGAGTCTGAAAGAGCAGTGGGATAGGAGCTGGTGACCAGGGTAACCAGAGTGCGATGTGCCAGCAGCCCTCAGTGTGCAGAATGGCAGAAGTGGGACCCGTGGCCCACAGATATGGCCAGTGCCTTCTAGCCATTTAAAAATGAGAGAAAAGCACCCACAGTCCACCTAAGGACCCCCAGCCTTGAGCCCACTGGGCCCTTTCTCCACTTGTATGATCCTCCCAGCTGCGTCACCCAGCCCCCTCGTGGTAGCAATAGGACAGGAAAGAAAGTGTCATTTCTATGCAGATTCCCACCTTGTCAGTACAGTCAGCCCTTCCGAAAAGGAAGCCTTTGGAGTGTTTCTGCCGGAGTGTTCCCTGTGAGGCCATCCAGCTGCAAGGACAGCCTCTGCCTTTCTGGGATATTCTTCCTGGTGTTTGTACCTGAAAGCTGGTTCCTGCATCCATCCACGGTATCCTCACCCCTTACCTGCGTCAAAGGCTGCAGCTTCTACCCGACCTGGAGGCCTTGCCCCTCCCTCCGGAGCATGGAATACAGCTAAGGAACCCGGGCCAGGTGGAGGGACGCCTGCCCCCTGCCACGGTGTCTGTGCCGCGTGAGTGGCCTGCTGTCTGAACTCTCCCAGGCCGTCACTGCTACTGCAGGTCAGTGATCCTTTGGAGTCTGAATTTCACAGAGCTTTTTTGTCTTCAATTCCTAACATGTAATCTGATAATGACTGGTTTGTGGAAGCCGTTATGAAGTGCAATTAGATGGGTGTAGGTCCCCGCCGTGTGGAGGGAATGAATGACTAGCATGTATCTTCCTCTCCTCGATGCCAGAAGGTTGAGGTCTGCGAGCGCCGTGTTTACACATAGGCAGGGCTCCCTGCCACCCTGTGTGGCCTGACCCCCTGCAGAGGGCGGTGTCCAACTGGATCCCTGGTCCTCAAGCAGTCATCTGGCAGAAGACTAGCTCACCCGTTCTTTCCAAGCACATTTCACATCCGCAGGTACAAGCAGGAGTGAGGGGTTGCTTTTGGTCACGGTTAGGACTTTTACAGCCTCCACACACTGCTGGAAGGGCAGAAGGTGGACCCTTCACGCTGACCAGCATGGCTGGTTCTCCAGCTTTGTGCAGGCAGGGAGTTCCAGCTTGGGCCAGCTCACCCAGGCGGCTGCTTCCGCCTCCAGAGTGTCCTCATTTTGATATGCAAATCGCTTGAGCATGTCAGCTCTGGGATCTTCATTCTGAAGCAAATGAAGTTTTCAAAGGCAAGTCGGGCATCAAAAGCCAAAAACTGACCAGAAGATGGTGCTCAAACCTTGAAGACTTCGCCTCCACATGAAGCCCTCACTGCTTCTGCCAAGACTCGGTCTTCTTAAGGTTTTTTGGTCCTATGAGCTATCAGACCAAGAGAGCTCTTGATCTGCAAGTGGCAAAATGGTACTGCATCTCCCCCTGACACCAGATAAAACCCACTGAAAGAGAGTGGAGTGGCCTGTGCTTTTGGGGCCTGGAAGCCAAGCCTAGTGGATAAGAAGGCAGCTCCTCACCAGCCATGGGCTGCGGTCGGGAACTGCAGTGTCATCAGAACTTCTTCCAGACAAAAAACAAAATAAATAAAAGATTAATGCCAAGGGTCTGTAGGGGAAAGTGATTTTTCTTTTTAAAAAGTCTTCCAAATAAAGCTCTTTAAACCCAAGTTTCAGATCCTTTCAAGTGCTGAGAAACCCTTTCTGAGGTTTCTGACAGATCTAGATTGTGACAGGACTTGCGTTTTCTTTAGCATCACCAGACGGGCAGCCCTCTGTGGAACTGAGAGCAAACATGGAAGTCGGACTTGCTGCGAGGTGGCTCTTACCCCATGGCACACGCGTCAGGAGGTGCAGACTCGGCCCGTTCTAGTCAGGAACGAGGAAAGGTCCATGGTGAATTCAGCCTTTGCTCTGAATGGACCTTTACAAGATGCTGCCTTGGCAGTGATTTTACAGTGTGACTCCCCGGAGACGCCCAGGTGTGGGTTTTACTGTAGGAAGACTTTCTCTAGCTCTACTTGGCCATGTTAGTCGTTTCTCCCACTTCTGCCCAAGAGACCCTCTGCCTTGCTGCCACAGGGGACATCGTTACCATGGTCTCCTTAGTCCGTATCACATGCTTCTTTAGGGCAGTGCTGTTCCCTTTGCCTCGTTGCCATCGGTGCTGCCCTGAGGCCTCCGGGCTGAGCCTCAGGTCGTTTGCCGAGTTATGGAGGGATCTGTGGGCTTCTTGGAACTCTTGACTCTGTTCAGTGGGACCCCAAACCTCCTTTGCTCACAGAGCTCATGACACAGCTGCTGAGGAGGGAAAGGCAGGCAGGTTCCAAGCTGGAGTCAAGTTCTGTGGGAATAATGGGGTTCACTTATGGAACAGGACTTACCCACCCCAGGTAAGTGAGACAGCAAAGAGGTGATTCAAAAGCCAGCATTGCCGAAGAAAGATGGGACTGTCTAAGTACATGAGCAGAACCTGGGGCCAAAGGGCAGCAACGGGGCAGAGACAGAGGTCTTTCCTTGTCTGTTTTATAAAGCCCATGTCCTGTCTGAGAAGCTTTGTTTGGAAAACTTTGAGCCCAGCGCATACCACGGTCTCAGTGTGGATTCTGGGTTCCCTGGTGAGTCCTGTCCTCTCCGAGGAAGCGTTCTGATTCCCCTCCCCACTGACCCCAGAGCACACATTGTCCTCCTCCCCCAGGAAGAGCTCTGAGAGTCCGCTGGTGGTTGAAATGCGGTTGAGCATCAGGGGTGAATGGGGGGACGAGGTCCATGTCTGCTTGTGTCTAAACCAGGAATACTCCCAGACTCGAGGAGATGAGATGGGGCCTGAGAGCTCCTCACCCCGGGGGATGTGCTGTCACCACAGGCTGATGACGTATTGCTGAGATGGGAGGGATGTGCCTTTAAATCTCTCGTGCCTGAGATCTATGAATTGACTAAGGAATGGAAGAAACTGCTCACCTTACATTGAACAGTTCTTCCAAGCAATATTTCTATTAAATAGGAGCTAGAAAGTTGGACAGTGATGGGAAAAATGCTGGCTGGCTTAGTCCTCCCAACGGAAGGATGCAGCGGCCCAGCCCTGCTCCGCCCTGCTCCGCGTGGCCCAGTGGATTCCAGGGACACTGGGAGGCAGGGAGAATATGGGAGGACAAGGAAGACTTGTGCTGAAGGGAGTGTGAAGGCGAGCTGGTCTTGTTTTGTTGCCATGGAAAACCTTAGTGCCGGTAGGACTTGGACCGAAAGCCCAGAAGCACAGCCAGAACTCAGAAACTTGCTACACCTACGACTCGGCCTGTAACGAAGAGAAGCTGCCTGTGCCTTGGGGATTATGCTGTGGAGAAAAAGCATCCCCTGGGCTGGTTTAATTGAGCTTGCTTCCAAATCACACACATGTTCATCGCTTCCCGTACCAAGACCTGCCCGCCCTGGTACCACCCGTGGTCAGGACAGCTAGCCAGCACATGACGCTGTATAAATTGGATTACACACCATTATTTGTGTTCACCTTGCACTATTCTATATAAATAAAATACATACTTTGAAAAAATGCTGCGTGAGCTTCAAATGGCTGTGACGATGTAGACCAGTTTTCTCGTTGGTTCTGGGCAGCTGTCAACCAGGCTCCACAGGCCTGGTTTCCTAGGGGTTACTGTGTACCTTCAGGCCATGTTAGCATGGGGCGGGGATGGGGAGTGTCTCTTGTCGTGTGGAGTCTGCTCCCTAAACCCTCTTTCCCAGGGAGCGAGTGTGGGTGCAGTGTTTCAGAGACAGGTTTTGGTGTTGGACCTGGGCACATCCCAGCTATGCCATTTTCTGACTGTGACCTTGGGTGACATACTTACCTTTTCTGAGCTCCCTTCTCCGGCTCCCATCAGTAAATGGGGGAAATTACTATATTTACCCCCCAGAATTATAGTACGAATTCAAAGCCTGGATTTAGTGAATTTAGTGTTGAAATTTTTAGTTGTTAAGCCCTTCACACACAGGTGAGCTCTTCCCTGCGATTTCCAGCACTGAGGAGCAGGTCCATTCCTGCACCTGTGCGTGTTCGTCTTCTTCAAATCTCTGAGTCCTTAGGGATCCTTATAACAACCACCACTTTTCATTATCTCTTAAACCTCAACTGCCCCCAAAGCATAAAGTGCTGAGCAGATAACTATAAAATAAGCTGAAACCTTTTGTGATGAGCAGCTGAAAATGTCATGTTGCTGGCAGCCAACTAGGAAACAAGAGGCAGACACACAGATAGGCTGCACCTAATTTCTGCAGTAAGAATCCAGCGGGTAAGGCAAGGGGAGGCATCAGATCCTGCAGCGGTCTAAGCTCAGGTCAGCAGTGAGGCCGGCGAAGGCAGGCTGGGGGGAGCGCGCTCTATGCTAACTTCTCCTGGGACAGTCCTGGAGTCACCGGAATACACCCTTGCCCAGTGCCCACAGGGCCTTAGGAAGGAATGCCCCTCTGCCTGCAGTGTCTTCGGTGAGAGGGGCTGGATCTGTCGCGTGTAGAGCAGTCATCCTGAGTGTCCTGGCAGCTGGGGGTGAGTGCAGCATACTGCTGGACTCCAGCCATGAACTTGAACGTGCACAGAGGTGAAGTGCAGCTGTGGGCCAGGTGTGACTGAGCAAAGGGAGGAAATGGGCCAAGCGACCCCCCCCCACACCCACATCCAGTTATCTCAGGCCTGGGGCCGGCGGGGAGCTGGCTGGAAGAGGCCAAGCAGCACAGTGCAAAGGACATGGACTCGCTTCCCAGCCCACTTCTGACTGGACGATGACCTTGGGCGATCTGTTCCTAACTGATTGTGAGGAGGAAAGGTAAACTGTGGAATGCCTAGCAGAGTATAGGTGCTCCCTAAAGGACGTCTGCTAATGTTTCGAATACTTTACAAGAGCCTGGGAGAAGAGGGCAGAGAAGGGCAGGCAAGAACGTTGTCTAACGTATTCTAAGATAGAAAGCCTGGAACGGAGTGTAGTGGTGCCCAGGACCAAAGCAAGATTTCCCTCTGGGCTGCACCACAGGAACCCGGAGCCTCTGTCCCAGACCAGAGCGAGTGGGGATCAGAGGGGGTTGGAGCAGGGACCCTCCAAGCCCCATGGCACCAGAGCTGAGGGGCCATGTCTGAGTAAAGGCACAGACTGTCAGGTGGGAACATTAGTGACTTCTGGCCGTCCCACCTTGCCTCTTGAGCTTTCATACTCATTGTTCATCTTTCCCTCCATGAGCTTGCGCTCAGGGATGTGTTTGGTGTGGAAAAAGAACTTGCCCTAGACCAAGTGTCATCCTTCGTTAGGAAATAACTCGGGACTCAAGGTTTCACTGAGAAGAGAGGGTCTGGGACATGGGCATAGAAAGCAGCTCGTTTTCTCCTTGGGCGCCTGTTCTGTCTCCTGCCCCGTCACCCAGTGCTACAAGGTCATAGGGCTTGTGTCCACAAAGACACTGCACCTCTGCATATTTAGCACCAGACAGCACGGTCAGGTGCTGAAATGTCGTTGCTGCTCGGCCGGGACCAAGCAGGGTTCATCTCATTTGCCCCATCACCACCCAGGGAGAACCCAACCTCTGCATCTCACCGCTGTCAGCAAGGCTGTTCCCCAAGTTACCCGTGGGCTGGTCTATCAGAGCATCCTCCTTTCTTTGTCCTCCAAGGAGAGAGAAGCAGAAGGCTAGAGCAGCCGGCCTGGCCGGAGCTCCCAGATGCTCTGATCAAACACCACTCCTGCCGGCACTTCTCGCACTGGTTCCCCCAGGGCAAGTCAGGAACAGCTGATCAAACACATCAGGACAAGGTCAGTCCAGGGACCCACAGTCCCCTCCAGGGGAGATTTCATAGACCTGCCATCAGGAGGGTCTGACAAGAATGGGCAGGAGGTGGAAAAGAGGGCCCGTGGGGCTGGCACAGGACTGAACAGCTTTCATTCCATTTAAGGTTGAAACCTCTGTGCCCCACACAGGGTCCAGCCCAAAGCCAGCATTTCCAGGGAGGCCAGGGCTAGAGCTGCCTGTGAGCCCAGGGAATCGAAGCGAAATGAAGAGGGCAGCTGTGCGTGCGCACACCACGGGGGGTGAGAGCGATGTCAGGCCGGAGGGAGTGGGTTTGGGAGCATGGGATTATAAGATTGTCACAGGGTGACTTCAGATCCTCCCTCGCTAAACTGTGACCCCTTCAAGGGCAAGAACTGCATTATCCTTTTTGTTAACACACACATGCGCAGGTAGCCTGCACATCAGGTGTCTTTTAGACCTGAGGTTCCGGAGTCGCTGAGAGCCTGTTCAGTGCTCAGTCCCATGCCAGATGCTGTAGATAGAGGTTGGGGCCATGTTGGGCTAATATGGTACGTGGTTCCTGCTCCTAGGGGGCTGGTAACCCGTTGGCCAGGCAATATCTCTGCATGAGAGTGGGGGATTAAATTTTTAGAAATATTTTCATAATGAATAGTTACTATTATTAAGTGCTTACCACGTGGTGGACACTGGACAAGAACTTGATGTAATTCTTCACCAACACCATGAACTTGATGTAATTCTTCACCAACACCATGTCAGTGCGGTTACTACTCCATGTTACAGGTGAGGAAACCAACACCAGAGCAGCCACTAGAGTTACATAGCTAGTGAGCATCACAGCCGGGATTTGAACCCGGGCCACCCGAATCCAGAGCTTGCTCTTAAACACCATGCGATATTCAAGCATTCCTTGCTAATCCTTAGCCACGCTTCCCAGTACTTAAGCAGCCTGGCCTGTCACACCTGGACTGTTGTCATAGGACCTACCAGACCTCCCTACCTGCTCTCTCCTTTCTCTTCCCGTCTGTCCATCCTGCCTGAGACAGCAGACAGGCCTAAAACTCTGCTTTTATCAGCTGGAAATGTGTCTGGCAGCAATAAGTCATGTCTTTGCCTTGCTGGGGACCCGACTGTGGCCTCAGGTCCATCCCTCACAGTTCCACCTGTCCTCACTCAGCACTTGATGGCTTAGTCGGGGCTCTTCCTGGAGTGGAGTGGCAGCCTGAGCCCCGTGGGGGCAGCTGAGCCCGCACAGAGCCTGGCAGAGCGTGCGAAGGTGGTTTCCCAGCACAGGCAGCTCTGAGAAGCTGCTTGGCCAGTCTGACTCCCCATCTCTCCCCTAATCCTGGGCTCAAAGGAAAAATGTTTTCCAGAACAGCAACTGTTTTATTGGAGAATATTGGAACAGAAGACAATATAAAATGCAGTGGTTCAGAGCGCACTTTAAATTGAGATCTGGGTTCGGATCCCTGTTCTTTCTTATTAGGTGTATGACTTTAAGTATGTTAACTTTACCTTGTTTTTGTTTTTGTTTTTTTCTGTAAAATGGAGGTAATGAAAACTCTCAGGGTAACTGTGGAGGTTAAAAGTGACGCATATAAGACTCAGGTATAAGTGATGGCATGTAGCAGGTGCTCAATAGAAATGATACCGGTCATATTATCAGGGGACCCAAAGCTCTGGGGTGGTCCCTGAAGACATCTGTGGGTGCTTCTAAAGCTCAGGTAAGATGGGCTTCTGTGGGAGAGGGGAAGATGAAAAAGCACAGGCTGCGTGGAGTCCCTGGCGGGCAGGGCCTGGTCTGAACCATCTCTGTCCCCCATTTCCCTGGTGTCTGTGAGCAGAGAACCATGACAAGGTGAGCAGCAAAACCAGGAGTGCAGCCGGGGTCTGTGGGTGCCCGGGACCCTGCTCCTTAAACTGCTCTCTGCTGCATCACAGAGCCAACTGGGAGAAGATCCTATGGCCCAAGGGGTGTCACAAATGCAAGCGGACCTCCTGGATCTGACGGTGCCCCAAGGTGTGGCCATGTGACCCCAGTGGAATCAGAGCCCTGTTCCATCCAGCTTTAGCAGAACAGGTTGTCTCAGTCCATTTGGTGTCCCCGTTTCTGCCCTGATCTGGTCCATTGAAGCCGAGAGGCCTCACCTGTGAGGCAGGGGAAGCTCAGAAAGGAGAGGAGGTGGCAAATGCTTGGCGTGATTTGGCCTCCCTCGTTTTGGATCGGCCAACAGTCGTCCCAGAATGCCTTACTCTTGATGGCACTCTGCTATTTTCAGATCACTCTCATATACATTATTGATCCTCACAGTAACGTGACAGTTTAGTCGGCTCTTCATTGTTACCCCTTTTAGAGTGAAAGAATTCAGACGCAGCCTCCTCTGTGGAATTAAGTGTCCTCAGCTAATGAGAGGTGGCATTGCAGGCCAGCCAGCCAGCACCAGAGGTAGGCCCCTCCCACCCCGCTGTGCTGTGCTTAGCGTCTCTGTGCTCCCTGTATTTCAGTGCACTTTCAATCATTTACTTGCTTGGCTCTGGCAGCAATGCTCTGAGGCTGGAGGAGCGTGAATTATTTTGCAAATGAGGAAACTGAGGTTCCAGGAGGTAACATCGCTGGGTCACACCGTGAGTCAGTAGCAGAACCGCAGTCAGAGCAGCTGGCCCAGTGTCACATCCACTTTGCAGGGGAAAACACAACTTAGGCCAGGTGAGTGAGGGCCCTCGGGGTCAGCCAGTGTCCACACGGCAGGGACGGCTGAG